AGAGGAGGAAGAGGAGGCTGGGCTTGACAGGGTTGTGATGACTTTCATAAGAGGAGGATTAAGAAGGGCAGATATTATTTTAGTAAAATTCAGCCAAAGGATGGAATGGAAATCAAAGGATTTAAATATCTCTACCTAGACTTAGTTCTGTAAGGAAGTCCCTTAATACTAATTTGCATTGGTTTTCTTTGTGTATTGGGATAATAGATGCTCTGGCCTACCATAAAAGAATGTTTATTTTTTTTAAATTAAAAATAAAAATTCAAAAGAGGGGTGGTTGGCAATGCTCAGTGGTAGAGTACCTGTCTAGCACAGTTCAGTCCCCAGTACCGCTAAAAGAAGAGAAGGGAGGGGGAGGGGGGAAGAGAAGGAAAGAGTTTGACTGTGATTTTGTTGAACTGCAGCTTTGTTGCCGGTGATCTGGGGCTGAGTAGTCAACTGGGTCAGTCTAGAGGGTCAAGTGGGGAAGCCCCGGCCTAAAACTCCTTTCTCTCTATGACTAGCCTGATTCCCCTTGATGTCTGTAGAGCACTGCCATGGGCAGGGGAAGCAGGGGACATTTACTGACCCAGTGCTGTATGTCCAGGGCTGGATAAAGGGCGGTAAAAATGAATCGACCTCAGAGTGGAGCTGCAGGCAATGGAAAGATCTAGACCTTTCCAAGGCACAAAGGAAGTACCCAGTCTGGTGTCATTTGAAGGGCTTCCCCTTCCTCCCAGTTGAAATGGGTTCAAAAAAGCAAAAGAAAGGGGGTAAAGAGAGAATTCTAAAAATGCTCGCTCTGTGAACACTGTCTTTGTGCAGGCCTCCGGGGGCGCCAGCTGGGGTGGGGTCACTGCCAGCCTGGCCTGCAGGACTTGGTTCTTCTTGTTTACCCCAGGCGCATCTGGGCAGCTGCCAGGGGCCGCCCCCGCGCTGAGGTCATTGGAGGAATCAAAGCTCAAAGCTCCTGCTAAGAATCAGGAGGTTTCATTTTGCTGTGCCTCGTGGTCCAGCCTGGGACGGGGGGAGCCCAAATCCTCAGGAGCAGGGCAGGCGCCTCTGACCATGCCGGGTTGCTCCTGCTGGAACGATTTCTTCCAGTACGAGACGAACAAAGTCACCCGCATCCAGAGTGCGAACTACGGCACCATTAAGTGGATTCTGCACATGATCGTCTTCTCCTACGTTAGGTAAGTGGGGTGTGCGCCTCTCTGCAGTGGGAGACAGCACAGGAAACCCGAAGGCGCGGCCCCAGTGCACATCCTGAACACCCTGTGGGTTTCAGCTCTAAGAAGCGCTTAGGCAGCAGGCTGGGAGGAAGCAGCCTGGGCTGCAGCAGAAGGAAGCGGGGGTGGGGGGGACGACTGGGGGCTCATGGGGGCCAAGCCAGGTGTTCCTAGGGAGGAGCAAGGCTGGCGGGGCGCACCTGGTGACAGCACTGGCTTGTGAGTCATGAAGCATAACGGGAGGAACAGGACCAGGCGTGTAAATGTCACTTCGTGTTCTCTCCAAATGTCAGGAAGAGCCACTCTTGTTTTCTTTTCTTAACAGCTTTGGGATATAATTCATACTTCACTCCCATTTAAAGTGTACGACTTGGGTCGGGGATTTAGCTCAGCGGTTCGGTGGGCTGCCTTGCAAGCGCAAGGACCCGAGTTCACTCCCCGGTACCAAAACAAAACAACAACAAAAATAAAGTGTACGACTCCACCGTGGTTAGTGTGCTCACAGCACTGAGCGGTCACGTTTTAGAACATTGTCACCAGCCCCCGAAAGAATCCCACGCCCTTAGCCACCCCTCTTAACCTCCCCGAGACCTCTCAGCTACAGACCCCCTCCAATCCTGCGGAGTCACCTGTTCTGGATACGTTGTGTGAACGGAATCATGCATATGTGGTCCTTTGTGGCTGGCTTTTTTCTCTTCGCCTGGATCAGTTCTTCATACTTTTCTATGGCTGAAGAGTAGTTCATTGTATAAATAGACAACTTTTTAGATTTTTTAGCTTTTTGAGATATGTAGCTCAGGTTGGCCTCCAACTCAGTCGGGGAGATCCTTCTGTCTCAGCCTCCCAAATGCTGGGATGACAGGCATGCGCCACCATACCCAGCTCAAGACCACTTTTATTTGTCCATTCATCAAGAGATCGGCGTTGGGGTTGTTTTCCAACTTTCCTGAATAGCCACAAACATCTGTGCACAGGTCTCATGTGGACACACGTTCTCCTTTCTCTAGAGCACACACCTAGGGGTAGAATTGCTGGATCACGAGGTCACTGAATTTCACTCATGGAGGAACTACTGGACTGTCTTCCACGGCAGTTGCACCTTAACACATTTCCGCCAGCAAAGGGTGAGGGTCCCGGTCTCCCCACATCCTCCCAACCCTTGTCGCTGTGACATTTGCTTCTGGCCAACCTCATGAGTAGGAGACAGTTTCACATTGTGGTTTTACTTGCATTTTCTGGTGGTGAATCTCTTTCACTTTTCACACCACTGTAGTGGGGGTGATGGTGCTAACTTGTTATCGTCCACCTCCTTTATAATCCCAGCCACATCTCCCTGACCAAGTCACTTAACCTCTCTGAGCCTCAGACTATGTCTGTTCATATGGCTGTCATGATAATTAAACAAGAAGTGGTATAAAAATCCCTTATTGTGATGATTGAAAGAGCCTCATAACTGGTAGCTGTTTTTAAAAATCATCTTTGTGAATATAATAGATATTTTTCTATACACTCTCCCATTTTGAGTCTTAAAGTAATCACGTCCAGGCTTAGGTCTGAGAATTGGAAATGTGGATTAAAATAACTTTCACTTCTTTGGATTCCTTGTCTCTGAAATGGGCTAGTTGTTGTTGGGACTGTTAAATGAGGGACTAGATACAAAGGTGCTAGAGAAATCTATGGCACGTGGCAAGCCCTCATTAAGTATTGGTTCTTATCAATGATGCTACTATATCAGGATTATCATTATTGGATCCATATGTTTACTATTCAACAAATATTAAATGACAACCATATGTATTAAAATTCTAAAATAAGACACATGTGAAATATGACTTAGGCCAGCTAGCATAGGGCAAATGGCAAAGGGCATAATTAGTTACTAAATGTTCCCTCTGACTTGTATGTCACAACTCCATGTAGCAGGTGAAGTGATTCCTAGCATTCTTGGGTCCAGTACACAATTCCTCATTCATTCATTCATTCATTCACGTGAGATAAGGTCTCTCTATGCAGCCCAGGCTGGCCTTGAACTTGTGGTGATCCTCCTGCCTCAGCCTCCCATGTTCTGGGATTACAGGTGTGCGCCACCACGCCCAACTATTCCACAATTTCTTAAAAGCAGACTATGGTGTCTGTAAGACCAGATAATATGAGAACATCATATAATGACAACTACTTTTTCTTTCAGAAGGTGGGATGTGACGTAACATGGAACTCCCTCAAATTCAGCCACACAGGTTCTATGGAGACATGGAAGGGCGTGTGGTTTACCTGGTGCAGTGATTCCACCACTGGGTGCCTTAGAATAAGCATGAAATGGGATACTTGAGTCTGGGGTTCCCGCTGTCACTCTCTGTCCCTGTGTGATTCTCAGCATGAGCATCTTGACACTTACTCCACCCATTAATCTAGATAAAAATTTTCCACCCAATGTGGCCCCTAAAATAAGCTAACTCCACACCTTCACCTGGAGCAAAACTGGAAGACTAGTACAGTGCCCTGTTCCAGAGTTGAAGGGAGAATTGGCCCCACCAGAAGGCGCAGGTCTTTTTGCTATGCTCTGTGGACAAGTTAAGGGCTCACCAAAGGTAATTTTGACCACATATCTTAAGTGCTGACCTTAGAAGATAACTCTCATGTGAAATGCTTCTTTTCCATTTATATTTTAAAACAAGAAAACGAAAGACCAATATTGCTAGAGTCGCTCTCTTCCTTTTCATTAGTGGGTTAGGAACTTCTCACTGGATGGAATCTCACAGCACAGCGTGGGGGTGCTGCCTCGGGCTGCTCTGGGAGGCCTAGGTGGAAATGAGACTTAGTCACCTGGGAAATGGGGAGACTCCTGGCACTCACGGCATCAGTAGGACTGGTGTAGGCGGTAAATGGAAGTGCAGCAGACATCACTCTCATTCGGTACACAGTGGCAGGTGATGGGCTCTGGCCATCTGTCCCTGCTTGGGCTGAAAAAGCAAAGAACTGGCTAAAGAAGGAAGACAGGGCCTCAATTTTTGAGCCTCAGAAACAAGGCAAGGGCTGGCCTTCAGAGAAACAAGACAAGAGGCCGATGAGCTCCTCAGAGCCTCATAACTGAGCTCAGATCTGGAGGAGGAGGAGGCAGGGACTCAGGTAGAAGAGGCATCAAGCGACTCCGGCTTCTGGGGTTGGCCAGGCTGCGGAACAGGATGATAGTAGTAAGAATTGGGGGGGGTGATAACTGACAGAAGTCTCACTCGAGTTAACCACAAATCCACAAAGGGAGATTGATCGCATTGTCTGCCTGGGCAAAGACATGGAGCTGTCCTCAGAAATGGGTGAATGGAACAGTTCAAATTCTTTTTATCGAGGCGGGTCTGTCTCTCCAGAGCTTGGCTCTATTTGACTCTACAGATGCTCCTTGACCTTATGATGATGGGGTTTTGTCCCCCGCCCCCGACCTATCGAACAGCACTGCTTGGCCACAAAGCAGCCTAAGCGGTCAGTCATGGACCCTCCTGATAATGACCAGTGGGAGCTTAGGTCCCCTGCCACTGCTCAGCATTTCCAGATAGTAATGTAGCCCATATCACTTGCCCAGGAAAAAAAGTCAAAATCCAAAATTGGGAAGTATAGTTTCTATTGAATGCCTATTGCTCTCACACCATTGTAAATTTGAAAAATCAGAAGTTAAATCATTGTAAGTTGGGGACTGTCTGCACTTCTCTTCTTCCAGAACAGGTTCTCACATAGCAAGACAGCACACTCTGATCCTCACACCCTCTTTTCCTCAGTCCCAGAGGAACAAACAAGTCTCTCATGGTAACTCTGTCAATACAGTCCCAGGAGAGGCTCTGACTGGTCAGGTTTTTGCTACATACCCATTCTTGAACCAATCACTGTAGCTTGTGGGCTTGGTATCATCTGATTGGACAGCCCTGGATCACGTACTGATTCCCGGGGCAGGAAGTGGTGAGAATAGCGAGACAGAGTACCGAATAGTCTGGCAGGATAGTCTGGCAGAATAGCGAGACATCCAGTGGATTTTTCTCAGGAAAGACTTCTGTTACCAGAGAAGTTGGAAAAAGAAGCGTGGCGTTCGGACAGACAGAAACCAAATATCTATGACAAGGTCTTTTCAAACGCTAGAGATTCCAGGGACTCTGAAGTCTACCTCTGTCGTCCTGGTTTATCTCAGCCTTACAAAGGGCTGTGGAGACTCAGCCTCTGGCTCTTGCCATGGCTGTGCCCTGTGGGTCCTTACCTGGGGCCCTTCCTCACCGCCTCCAGGAGACTTGCTCATCGATGCTGCTCGGGCCATGGGGGTTGCTGGCTCACCTGATACTTCCCTGCTGTTCAGTTTGCTTGTGCCCACCGCACTAAACCAAGCCACCTGTGAGGCCACTGCCTTGATGAGTTCTTTGGATCTTATTCCAAGTGTTGAGAGCTGCAGGATGCTTGTAAGCAGAGAAGCAAAAGATATTTGCATTCTCTTGGGAAGATTTCCTTCTTCCTGGAGTCCAGTCCTCTCAGATGATTGTCCAATGCCCAGAGAAGACCAGGGCATTTTGAGAGAGGAACAGGAGAACAAACTCCACTCACAACTGCTGCTTCTCCTCCTCCTCCTCCCGGGCAACATCCACTGGCAGCTGTCCTTGCGAGGAATGTCGTTCCTCTCGGCCCCTGCTGCCCAGCACCGGGGAGACGGTGTGGCTGTGCTGGTGTGTGGCTGGTTGCCTGTTTCCTCGGATGTGGCCTCACACTTGAGACTGGACCTCCTTCTGCTGAATTGCATGAGCCCACTACGGAGGTGGAAGGGGCACCAGAGAACGGGGAGGAGCAAATCCATCCTGGGCATGGCTCCTATGGCCCCTGAGGGGAGCAGAAACGTGAGGAGATTCATCGTATTCTCTTCTCGTCCTTGCCTCTGGTGTTGTGGTAAACTGCGGGTCACAGGGGCAGTCAAAGAGCTACGTCAAGAGGAGAATCCG